ACACATTATGGTCTCTAACAGGAAGCTCTGGTGGCCTCATCTGGAGGGAGCTGTGCTTTTAACTGAAAGGGTACTCACTCTACTGGTTTGAATCTACTCATAGCAATTTTGTCCCATGTGATTTACAGCTTTGGGCCACTGGAAAGTCAGCTATGAGTTGATTCTGTCTGGATTATAATAATAGAGGGCCTCTAACAGAGAATTTCACTTGCTTGTCCTCAAAAAGACACTCAGGCCTGGCATATATTTCCTATAACCAAAGGTGAGCCTTCAACGTTCCTGGTATCAGAACTGGAATTTCTGGTGTACATATGAACTACTGGTGGTCTCTTTATTTGCTTCAAATAGACAGTTCTTGCTTTTTAGGTAAATAGCTATGTTGGGTGACACACAAAAAACCCCATTTTTAATCTTCGAGTTTCTTTGTAAAGATTGTTTCATTTATATCAGAAAAAGGAAGAACTGTTGTAATTTCTGATTTGTTTGCTAGAGAATATGATGATTGAAATCAGAACTTGCCTGAATGCTCCCTTAATAATTGCAAAGCCTCTGTAAATTTTCACTGAAATTAATAACAAATTTAAATTAAAAAAATAATTAAGTTAGAGTAAGGATGGCAATGGAACCACCTTACCTCTGTAACTTGATTTGTGCCACTATTAGAACCTTTACTCAGAATATTATTGCTTTTCAATTTTTGACTCATGCACTTTTAACTTATTAGTTAAATTTGTATCTTCTAGGCTGCAACACTTCCATGATACATCTTCAAGGATATGAACATGTACGGCTAAGCACAATTGATAACAGTGCATCTAAATTCCAAAATCAATCTCCATAATAGTCTATGTGTTTCCTACTGCCAAAGGGGCCCTTTAGAGTAGTGAGAGAAGATCTTCACCCTGAAACCCACAGCATCCCTTTTCAGCAGGAAGTAGCTAAGAGAATACACCATCCCCTTTTCCTTATGAATCAGGGTGAAGTCTCTCTCAGGGAGGAGTGATAGGGAATGGCAAGGGACACACTGACAAAGGAGATTAATCAGAACTGGCTTTGACAAGCACTGTGGCAATTGGACAATTAAAACAGACATTGGAGGGGGGAAGAAGAATGAACTGGGGAGGAGGGTGGAGAAAACAGTGCAACAATGAATGAATGAAAACCCAAAATCTCTGTAAATGTTCATTAAACCTAATAAAATTTAATAATAAAAAAAATAATTGCAAACCTTTCCATGCTAAAGAGGTGTAGCAATACTGTTCTTATGTACCTTTGAGTCAAGACTAACTCAGAGCTGACTTCCCAGCAGGTTTTTAATAGCAGTACATTGCATAGGAGAGATTGCCCGCCTTTCTCTGCAGAGCAGCTGGTGGATTCAAACTGCATGCCTTTGGGTTGGCAGATCAACTCCTTACCATTAAACCACCAGAGCTCCCTGTAGCAATATTAGTCAGTGTAGAATCTGGACAAAGAATTGTCCTCTGACTAGACTCACCTGCCTCCATTTTACATATAAATCCTTTCTTTTCCTGGCATGGCGATAACTGCCACAGTCCTTCTGGGATCCTCAGGGCAACGCAGAGGTGGGGCACGAAGAGGTCCATTTCCGGCTTCCGAACACCCCAGCTGGACTGGTCTGTGGGAGTGCCATCAAACCACCTCACGGATCCATCTGTGACAAATTGGAAACATCATAAATTATACTAAGACTGGAATGAACTATAAAAAGCAGCAGCTAGATTTAATGAGACACTCTCCCTATTTCTCAAAGAGTGGTTATTATTAATAAAACAAACAAAATAACCACTTTCCATCTGTTTTAGATCTATTGTTCCCATTTTCACTTAGGGCGTCCTGTTTCTTACTATAATGGTTTGAATTTTAAAATATTTCATATCATTAAAGTAAATTTAAGGAAACCATTTAATAAAGTAATAAATTTGAAGAATAGTCCTTAGAAGTCCTCACATCATTATAAAATGGCTCATGTTCTAAAGGAATCTTCACAGTGAAGTTCTTGAAATAGCAAGCCAGTGATGTATCATGGGATGGGGGTGAGAGAGAGCCATCCCATGTGAAGGTAGTGAAGAAATACATTGTTTGAAAAGAATTTTAAATTAATAGTAAAACTTACTCAAAAGCTAGTCTACTTTTGAGGTCCCACTTGGTGGTACAAATGCTTTGTACCTGACTGTGTGAACCCCAGCAACACTGTGGAAGAAAAGGTCTGGCAATTTGTATTCTTTATGATTTTAGCCAGGAAAACGTTATGAAGTAGTTCTTCTCTGTAATACACGGGGCCACTAGGAGTCAGAATTGACTCAGTGACAACTGCCAGCAATAAGTCTCCTTCTTATGATTGTATTGACAATTCCAGACATCAAGGATCAAAGGCTTCTCACCAGTGATCAAATATTCCTTCTACTTTGGTGTACCCCTGTGGCCAGCTCTCCATACCAATTAAAAGAATTTTTTAACAAGTTCTTTTTGATACCCATCAATTAAAAGAACATCTTTATTCTAATAAAAATTCCAGCTTATGTGACTATCAGATAACATCTAAGAGTACAATTTATTCCAACATTTTTAAAAAGCTCTATTGCGCTTTTCTCTGTCAACGTACTGTTCCAGTCATTTCTAGATAATCTTCAACAGAATTTTGCTTGCGTGTAATGTGAGTGACATTGTATGAGAATTTCCACACTCTGTTGGGTCACCTTTTATGGGAATGGGTAAATATGGATCTCTTCAAGTCAGTAGGCTGGATAGTTGTCCTTCAGAATTCTTGGCACACCCGTGAGCACATCCAGGGCAGCATCTGTTTGTTGAAATATGTCAATTGGTATTGCATCAATTCCTGGGGTTTTATATTTTCCATGCCCTTCAGAGCAGCCTGCAACTTCTCCTTTCATCACCAT